GCTGCAACTGTGGCACTTCTTCAAACAGCTGCTAATCCTCTGGAGATCTCCAAGAACCAGTCAACGAACTCTGCTTTCTCAGCTTCCAGCCTTAGATGGTTCTCATGTGGTMRKCTGGACTAGACTCACATGAGAAACCCTAGCTCTGATACCAAGTAGAAGTTCAGGACTGTTATCAGTCTTGAACCCTAATGGATTTCATGATCGAAAATAAGAAGAAAGGTAAGAGGAAGGAAGAGGAAGAGGGAGGAGAAGCAGTAGAACACAAGAGTTGAAAGGAGGAGCAGAAGCTTAATGTGCTGCCGCCACTTTAATTAATATTTATAGGTTATGCTCATTACATGGTTCAAGTCCCGGCGACCCTCTGAACATTGTCTGACCCGATACAACCCCTGTAGGGGTGTATCGGGAAGCCATCGGCACGATAAGTATCGGCAGATACGGGCCGATATGTGTCGATACTTTGAACCCTGCTCATATCATGCGCTTTCATCTTGTTTTTGAAGCTAAATGTCATTTATCAAGACTTGTGTATTTCCTAATTTAATTAAAATAAGTTGAGCAGATTTTTTATAGCATAATTTGTTACATACCATTTTACATATTTTAAAAGTATTATTGCTATAGAGTACATTTAAAAGTATCATGCAGTATTATAGTCTCCAACACCTGTATGCTAAGCAATTATGTGTATCTGGGTATCATGGACTATTTATAATTATACTTTGGCTTTGAAGTGATACTTTATTTTGTTCCTTCTGGTTTAATGGTATGCACTTTACAGATTTGTGGACTGAAAGCACTTGTGAAAAGTTTTTTGCCACATCAAGGAGCTCATGTCAAATATGAAGTTAGGGAACTGCTGAATATTTTATTGAAGATGCTACCTGAAGGTGATATTTCGGGTGATATCATCTTAAGGTGTGATATCTAATCAATATGCAAAGTTGGATTCTTTAACTTTTTAAGTTAGCAGCTCACTGTCATAACAATTTATTGTTGTTATTCTTCATTGTCAATTGTAAAGCTTCATATTTATTGAAAAATAACCCAAAATTTACAGCCAATCTCAGCCCTTGTACAACAAAAGAAAAAGGTTTAGCACTAGAGGAGTTGCCATTTCCAGTTGTGCCTGTACCAATCGCTAGCACCTCTAAAAGTTCCTTTAATACCTTGGGTGGTAAACTTCTGAAAGAATGCATTCAATCTTCTTGCTCATATATAATTTTAATCAACATTTGCATATATAGTGCACCCCTTTTAGTGTGCACTTGCACATTAGTCCAAAGTTTTTTGTGTCATTATGCTAGGCCTGATTGTCTAGCCTTGTTGGGCCTGGCCTGCAAATTTCCGGGCTTGGGCCTTGCCGCCTTGGTTTTGTGTAAAACCTGCTCCAGCCCAGAAATTTGCAGGCCAGCCCAGGGCCTAATACTTCGGGCCTAGCCTGGCCAACCAGGCTTGGAATCTATCTATCTAATATATATATATACTAAAACAAGGAAGTTAATCTTTTTTTTCCTTTTCTTGAATTTTTTATTTTATATTATTCCATGTCATTTTTTGCAGACAACCAATAGATATAAAGAAAGATAGAGTAGATTTTCTTATGTCTAGCCATGTGACACCACCATCCCCTTTACTAGAGTCTCACTCCAATTCCCTTCTATTCTCTCCACTTTCCCAACAAACCCATTATTCTCTCCTAAATTATCTCTAATTCCTATTTATCCTCTCCCCCACTTTCTCATCTATATTTATCTAAAGAAAGTTTGAATTAAAGAATTATTTAAATATTATAACGAAATTATGTAATAACTTTAAAATATTTATGAAAAACACAAAATAATTATAATAGATTTAATAATATTTGTATTATTAATAATTTTATATTTTTACGAAATTCATAAAGAAATTATGTAATAACAACATAAATTCTAATTTTACAAATTATTCAATTTAATTACTGAATAATATTTTAAAAAATTATTTAAAATGTATTTAAATAATAAAAATTAAAATGTAAAAAAATGTTATTGAAATATTTAAACAACTAAATATATTAAATAAAAGAAATACTAAAAATGGCTAAATAATTATATCACAAAATATTTAATATTATGTAATGACTCTAAAATAAGTAAAGCTTAAATAACGAAAATTTTAAATATTTAAATAACTAAATATTTTAAATAAAGAAATATTTAACATAACTAAATTGTAAATATTTAAAATAACGAAATTAAGTAATAAATTTAAAAAAATTTCTTAAAAGTAGAAAAATTATTATAATAGTTTTCATAATATTTGTGTTAATAATATATATATATATATATGTATACATGTAGGGGTGTCAATTGAACTGGATTTGGTCTAATCCAATCCAGTCCAATGTGAGTCCATTACAAATGGACCAGGTCCACTCCAATCCAATGAATATTTTGGACCGGTCCAATTCAATGTCTGGACCATTCAATCTGTTCAAATTTGTTTTAATTTAGACTGGTTCCAACCCAAATCTGGTCTATTGACACCTATATTCTTATCTTCTATCAATGGACCAGATATTGGCTCAATCCAACCCGATCCAATATAAATTCATTACGGATGGGCCAGGTCCAATCCAATCCAATAAATACTTTGGACCATTAAGTCTGGACTGGTTCAATTCAATATGTTTGGTTGGTCCATTCAGTCCGTCCAAATTGATTTTTGTTTGGACAGGGTCCAACTCAAAACCGGTCCATTGACACCCTACATACATGCATGCATACAAATTATGCACTCACTGATTAATATTTCCACAATTTGGTTATGTCTAATCTGCAACCGTTTGATCAGATTGTAGAGGCAGGTTGTTCGTATGGTTAATTTCTTTGTGGATATTATGCAATGCAGTGAAAATGACAAGGCTCATATCAGACTAGCTGCTGCAATGTCAGTTCTCCGGCTTGCTAGAAGATGGGATTTTCATATACCACCTCAGATTTTTCACATAACTGTTCTGAAAGCTATGGTATGCATATCACTGTACTGTTGTTCATACAAACAAATAACATGATGTGTCTAGTAATCAGAATAGTAAACTAAAATATGAAAGGTTTATTGGTTGCTGTTCACAAGTCATTTGAAATAGATGGGTACTCTACATGTTGTTTGGGACCTGCCTGCAAAATGTATATTGAAAGCTCCAGACTTTTTTGGTCTTTCTATTTTTCTACTTTTTGGCAGCTGCCAAATTGTTCAAAACAATAGAAAATTGTGTTTGTGTCATATGTGCTTCTTTAGTCCTATAAAGGCCAGATGCTTGTAAGATTTGTTTGGTACTTGGTCTGTAAGGGGCTATTTATATCTGTGGCCATCAGAATCCCGAATTTTAATTGACTCTTGGGTCTAGGTGACTTTGGTCTTATGGATCTCTTGAAGCATAAGACTTTCAACCATAAATATATGTAAATATTTAAAAATCCATGACAATAGGTAGTTAAACTGGTTCCTTTCTGAAACATAATGTAAACAAGTAGAATTCTATCTTCAAGATTGCTTATCATCTTGGAGAAGGTTTCGGGAATTGTAGTTTCTTATATTTTGCTATTAATGCACCTTAAATCAAGATGATATGGTAAAGCCCTTTAAATCTTCCATTTTCAACTGGAATTGTTGGCTGGTGCATTTTATAAAACAAGAAGCTGGTACCTGGTAGTACAATGGACAATTTCTACAATGGATTGTCTATGTTGATAGTAAAATGGTCAGTCCTTCTAAACCCCTCCTTTTCATGCATTGTAAAGCAATGGAATTGTCCTATATTCCTGTTATCTTTTATAACTCATGTTTTATAATTGGTCAAATTGAATAGGAAACTCTAGAATCGTTAAAGCTGTTTATCTTCTTACTGTGTTAGAGGTAGAGGAATTGATTGATCCTTTGAAGCATGGACTACTATCAAAGGCTATTTCTTGATGATATTATATCTATATTAATTTGCATTGGATGTTGAACAATGAAGTAATAATTGGTTCTTAGAAATTTTTGATGCCTTTTTGTTATAGTACCTATGGAGATTTTTTCAAAGTGTAGATATGTTGATATGACAAAGGCATGCTGTAGAACAAGAATTTGTATGAAAACTAAGTACCATCGTGTGGGATACAGAACCTGCCAAAAAGTAACATTGCAAGAAGGTTAATGTAGAACAAACCTAGGGATGGCCAAATCTCTCGAATGATGTGAAATGGTTAAAAAATGAAAAATAATGATCAAAAGAGGAGTGCTACATAGGAAATTTGTGAGAGGAGTTCCTTATCCCTAGTCAAGTATGGGGTCATAGGCCTTCAATGGTGTTACACCAAAGAAAAAATGTTTCAGAATTTCACCCTTGTAAAGATTCCAACGAAAAAAACAAAGTTATTCTTGATTTTGTCAATCTCTTTTATGACGATCTGAACCTTATATAGACTTTGCTAACCTAGAGGTCCTGGACTCTTAAACACTCTGAACTCTCATACTTATGGATGAAACATTTTTATTGGTAACTTTAAAGATTTATTAAATATGACCAAAAGAATATTTTATAATCATAGAAGTGCCTAGAGCCCAGATTTTAGGTCAGCATTTGCCACCTAACCCTTCTTTTACATATTACATACAATCAGTAGGAGGTAACTCCCCAAAATAGCTGATTGCTGGCCATTACTTGTTTTGCTAGTGCATCATCCCACCCATTGGAAGACATGCGTAGTCCACATTAAAACTGCCCCATTTCCCTTGACAGCTCTCTTATCTTCCTTGAAGCATGTTGGTTCTGCCATGAACCATGGTTATTACCCTTAAACAAGCTCATAACCACCCTAGAGTCACATTCCACCACCATATTGCTCAAGTAATACTAGTATATCGACATTGCTGCCAAGGTTTAAAATGTTGGTTTCGGTGGAAATATTGGTTGTCCAAATATAGGAAACATGTTGGAAATATTGTAAAAATTATAAACATGGTGGAAACATTGTAAAATATGTGAAGAATGTAGAATGATATTTTATGAAATGATAAAAGAAGCATAGGCACACCTTTTTAAATTATTATCTTATTCCAAATCATTAAACAAAGCTAAGAAACTAAGGTTATAGACAAAGAATATGTTTTGAAGTTGTCTTGTAAACCTTAAGGTTCAAAATTACGTGATAGAATGAGATAAAGCAAATTTTTAACTCATAAAAAGTGCAAATGGCTCTAATAGGTCAACCAAATAATCTATCACACAAACAAAAATTAATCTTTAATTTCATGTTTGTAATGGATATCAAGCTGGCTCAAGTGGTGATCATGTAAGTTTGGCAAGTAATAACATTGATACTCCACATATTTAAAATATCGTCACCAACTTATAATACTATCTCTTGTATTTCTCATAGTGCTGGTAGTGTTTATTGGGGAACATGTTGATTCCAGTAAATCTCTTGTACTTCACATATTGTTGGTAGTATTCACTGGGGAATATGTCATTCCAATAAAATTTCGTTTCGCTACCCATGGAAATGGGAATATGTTGTGGAAATATTAGGAAATTTAGGACTATTTTAAACCTTGATTATTGTTTCTGAACACCCTAGCTATACTGGAGTTTCCAAGATTGCCCATACTATATCCCTTAAAATTTAACTATATGACATAAGATTGGGCTCTGTTCATTCCACAGCCATGGGTGCTCTGCTAGCCAATGAATGTTTTACAATGTGCCACTGTCTGGTGCATAGTTTTGAAGGCTCCAAGGCGAGGCTAGGTGACAGGGGGGTGCCTTGTCACTTTGGCACCTGCCTAGGTGATGGACTTTTTTAAGTTAAAAACATCTATCCTAGGGTAGCTACTTAGCTTTCTGTAGAGGTTTTCCTTCAATTTCCCTCTAATGAAACTCTGGAGTAATTTTGCCTATTAGCTTTATGGAGAGAGTAAATTTTCCCATTCCATGAGTATGCTAATATTTGCCATCATTTTTAGTCATGTGTCTTTCTAAATATATACACATATTGCCAATCTATTAATTATCTGATTATTTTTCTCATGTAATTTGCATTAAAGGTATGCAATAATTATTGTTTTCAATATTCATTATCATTGAAAACCATGATTTTTGCGTTTCTCTGCTTGGTTGTTGTTTGTTTCCTAATTCAGTTTGAAGTTCAAATCATTCTGCCTTACCTAGCTACACTTTGTACTTTTACCAAAAACGAAAGTTACACTTCTTTATATGATACTTTTAACTTGCTTACTTTTGTAACCTGTTATCTTCTGTGATATTTCAGGATCCCTCATCTCTTGTACGAAGATCATTTCTAGATAAAATACATAAGCTTTTGAAGGAACATGCTATTCCTACCAGATATGCATGTGCTTTAGCATTAGGTGCTTCAGATTGTCTTGAAGATATCCGAGCTGATGTATGTTTGTCTTTTAGATGTATATTTACTCTTTTGTCAATTCTGCTTTTCTTCATAGTTACCACTGTTTTCTGAAATTGATATGCTTTTTGCCTGTCCTAGTCTTTGAAGTATCTAGCCGAATTTATCGAGGATTACAGTAAAGAGGCGAGGATCTGCCAAACTTCTACAGTTCAGGATTTAAAAGGAAGAACAATGACAGTTTATCCTGAATACGTGGTGGTCTTCCTTATCCATGTTCTTGCTCATGATGATGGTTTCCCTTCTGATAACAATCAAAGTGAAGAAAATTTTGCTCAGTTTTGCAGGTAGTAAATGCATTTGTCTGGTTACAGCACATAAATTCAGGAATATTAAACCATAATAATGTTTTTTTCTATTTTTTGGGCAGCCCCTTATTTGTCTTCTTGCAAGCATTAATCAATGCTAGCTCCATTGATAGCAGTAAGAATGTTGTTAGCGATACCGTCTCATATCTACTAAGTATTCTTCATGCTGTTAAGAAGGCAGAAGATGCTGTCGATATTCATAAGACTCCTGTACGTGTTTTAGATCCATGTTTTGAAAAGAAAGATATGTTTTGTAGATCTTCTATAGGAAAACTTTTGTTTCATGAGCTTTGCTTCCTATTTACTAATAATTGCATTCTTTGTATTACAGAAGCTGCATATCCTGGCAGACATAGGTCTTTTCATTATAAAATCATTGAGTCATAATTGCATGTTCTCATCTCAAACTTCAGCAGTGGTCTTGTTGCCATCATCTTTCTACAAAGTTGGCATCGATGTTAAATGTGGGAAAGTAAGTTATTTAGCAGATTAAATTTGATTTCTATGAAAAAAAGAAAAAAGTCATCTGTCTTTGTCCAAGGCTTAGTATTATTTGTCATCTGCAGGCTAATTCAAGTTGCCTTGGTGAATGCTCTTTTGGTAAAAATTTCATTGACAGGCTCCTTCATATGTTTGAACCTCATACTCGGGTAGCTTGTTAGTGGCCTTTTTGACTTGCAAATGGCTTAGACAAATACCTCACAGGTTTGATGTTCTAATAGAATGTTTCTTTTTTATGTTTCAGCCTGCTAGCCCTGTTGCTAAACGTGGTAGGAAATTTAAAGACGACAGCATGCAGGCGGATGTGATAAAGTGCAATATGATGAATTTTCCATCATACAAACAACCTAATTCTTTGGCAAGGAACAAAGAAATAACAGAGAAATCTCAGGTGCAAGGAGGAGAACACCATAAAACCGTCAGGCAGGAAAGTACTAGAACAAAGATAAAACAGGCACATTCTCCAAATAAATCAAAATCAATGGGAATGACTAGTGAGAGTTCTATTAGTGAGAATAAGAAGGGATGGTCTGAAATCACTGAAGAAAAATTGGGGAAGAAACATCAAGTTTCATCTTTTTCTTGCTCATTAGCTACAGAGCATTCATTATCAGAGTCACAGGCCTCTGCCCACAAAGGTTTAAGAAACTGCCACTCTTTGGAAGAAGCTGAGATGGAAAATAGTGGTGTTCTTTCTGATCATTCTAAAATTTCAAAAATCAATAGTCAGGAGTATTTGTCATCAAAGGTAAACAAATCCCATGCCCTTAGTATCATTGTAAATGTTCCCTTGGTGCATAATTTAATCTCTGAATGGACAATAATTTATGTAATAAGTAGGGAATTAGAGGTAAAGGTGAGATGCTAATTGGACAGCGAGTCAAAATATGGTCTCCAGTTGATAAATGGTGAGGATCAGTAACTGAAGGGGCCAACTCTGTTTTAATGTTAACTAGTCTACTCTATTTGTTGTATTGGAATTATTCTAGTTTCTATACTCATAATTATTGTGTTGGATTTCTTCTAGTTTCTATTTAGGCACTGTCAATGGGTTCAATTGTCAAAACAGTACTCACAAGGTAACTCACTGCAATAATGAGTAATATTTTTATTTGTTCTTTAATGCTTTGGATTCTTGTTACCATTCACAACATTGGAAACATCTCAATTGCTATGTTGACAATACATTTGGTCACTATAGAAAACTAATCTGTTTACTTTAGTGAGTTTCTTTTTCTTGATTCATGACCAATGCTTTACTGCCAACATAAAATTTTTAACCCTTTTGTTCAATTCTCTGTTCTCCGGTGCTTTTTATCTGAATAAAGTTAATAGATTAAAACCATTTCTTGAGTTGTTTTGCCCTCTTTTTTGTCATGACTTGCTAGCTTTACATCCCTGTGACTTTGTAAGGTATCTAGCAACTACAGAACCCTTAATGCAGTACACACTAGATAAATCCTGTATTTTACCTTCTCTATGTTCTATTTAAATCCTGACAGATAAAACTATCAGATAAAATCCTAACACCAGGACAGGGTGTGGGACTCTCCAGAATTTGGTGGATAGAGACGTCAATGATTGGAAAGAGTCAGGGTTTGTTTTTCTTGGGTGGTGAGGAGTTTGCTAGAAGGGCCTTTGAGGAGGTTGAAAGAAGGAAAAGGGAAGAGAAGGTGAACAAAAAAGTTCATCGGGAAGGTGACAAGTGTTGAGACGAAGATGTTTCAAGCCGAGAGGCAAGGTTCTAAATATCAATACGCCCGATACGCCGGTAGGGGCGTACCGGTACTGCTTTTTTATTTTTTAACTTTTTTTTTCAAATCCGGTTCAGGGGGGCCGGTTTAAGGTTCCTCCACCCCCTGAACCTGTCAAAACCCTGATACACCCTCTGTAGGGGCGTATCGGGGTGCTCCCGATACAATACGTATTGGCTGATACGTTTCGATTTTTTGAACCTTGCTGGGAGGATGAGTTTATGGAGGAAGATTGAGGTTTTGGTCGTGGAGCAAGGAGGGATTAAGTTTCTGTTCAGGGGTGGGGTTGGATGTATTCACTTCCATGGGGATTTTTTTTGGGTCGTTTCCTTGGCCTTTGCTTGAGATTGGTGTTTTGGGTTTTAGTATGGGAGTCTTGAGATCTTTGTTGGGTTCCTTGGGTTTGCTTCCTCTTCGGGTGATGTCTTATTACCTTTCTATTGTATTCTATTTTCCTTGTTCTAATGAATTTTTATTTTTATTCTTCAAAAAAAATGTCTTCTTAAATCTCATTTTCTACATGAAATTTTGCAGAAAGAAAAAGGAAAAATTTTTGTATTGATGGCTTGTTTGGGACTTCTTGTTATCAAGATCAGAATCAATAATCCTGATAAAGAGGTCTTGACAAAGAGGGGAGAGATTGATAGTGAGATATGATGGAACTTTGGACAAGGAGAAGGGGCAGGAGTTGGATTGGCAAGCACTGCCTTGACTGGAACCTTTTGAGTCACCTTCCTTTAATTGACCGGGACGATCTTCTCATAATTAGTTGTCATCATTGATATCACATCCTTTAGATTGTTGAGGACCTTATGCATCTCGATTTCAACTTGTCCATAAGACCCTTGAATCTGGACATAAGTCAAGCTATGGGCCTCTATTCTATCAAATAGTCCCTCCTTGACTCGACTATGACCTTGCCCTCAAAGTTGGTAGTTGGTTACTACCAAACAAAGGCCATATAATCCTCCCAAGTAGCGTCCTCCTTAGGAAAATGCTTCCAAGCCACCAAGACTTTAGTGAACCTTCTCCCTCAATAGATCCAATGGTAATGCAATATCTCTAGTTGTTGAGGTTGTAGATCCCCATTTGCATTGAAATTGGAGAGAGTAATCAAGATGGGAGTATTGTTTCCCACATTATGCTTCAGTAAAGATACATGGAAGACCTGGTGTAGTTGAAAAGTAGGAGGTAGAGCCAAATGGTAAGTTACTGGACCAATGCACTTTATAATACGAAATGGGCTGAAAAAGCAAAGAGCCAATTTGGGCCTGTTGCACCTTGCTACCAAGACTTGACAATAAAGTTGTAATTTGAGTTAAAACCATGTCCCCATCTGGTAAGGACTACCTGTGTTTCTGGTCATATTGCACCTTCATCTGCCCACTTCAAATGATCCTTTAAGGACTTTAGCATTTCATCTCTCTAAAGAAGCTACTCTTCCACCTAAGCAATAATTGCTGACCTGTTTTCATAAGGGAATATGGATGGTGGGTCTCATCCATATAAAGCCTTGAATTGGCTCATTATGTTGTACCATAGCTTGGCCCATGACAACTAATCTACCCACCACTTGGGTCTTTCTCCTGTGAAGCTTCACAAATAAGTTTCCAAGCATCTATTCACAACCTTAGATTGCCCATCAGTTTGGGGATGATAGCTTACAGTGGCCCATCTTGGTACCTTGAACCTTGAATTACTCAATCCAAAAATGGCTCATAAAGGTCGAATCTCTATCTGTGATAATAGAAGGTGGTGTGCCTTACTGTACGGTAATCTCTTGCACAAAAACTCTTGCTACTTGAGCTGTGGAGTAAAGATGAGAGAGAATAGCAAAATGACCATACTTGGTTGGTCTATTGACCACCACCGTGATAATGGACTTTACTGCTATAATCGGCAGGCCTATTGTAATATCCATAGTTATTTCATCCCACACCTGTTCAAGGATGGGGAGGGGCTGAAGGAGACTTGCAGTTGCCTAAGTGTCGGCCTTATTTCTTTGGAAAATAGAACATTGTGTTACATAATGCATTTGTAGGTTTGCAGAACCCCTAAATGTCTACTAAGTGATGATTCATGAAAATAGGTGCAACACTTCCTTGAGAAGAGATCCAGCCACCAACACCAAGCAACACTTGTGGAACAGATTTGAGCTCTTTAGAGTGTACCTTGGAGCAATGGTGGGTCAGCTTGCAACTCCAATCTAATGTGGGCCAAGGAACTATGGTTCCGGGTTTCCTCTTTGAGCTTCTTAGCAAGTGAAAAAATGAGCCTAGATTTGAGCAACAAAGACAATTCATGGGCCTTGGAGAGGGCATTAGCCACTCGTTTGTTGGGCATGGTTTATGCTCCACCTTATAGTCGAAATCCAGCAACTTATATAGCCAACATTGTTGGTCTAGACTATGAGCCTGCTGTTCCAGAAGATATTTCAAACTTTGGTGGATGGTGCAGATGACAAAAAGATGGCCCAACAAGTAAGATCACCATTTATGATAGATAGAGCAATGACCATAAGTTCCCTGTCATAAATAGACTTTATCTAGGTTTGAGGAGCCAAGGCCTTGCTGAAATAGGTGATGGGCCTTCCCTATTGCATAAGAACAATTCTGTTCCCGTTCTTCAATGCATCACATTATATGATGAACTCTTTAGAGAAGTTGGTAAACTGAGTGTGTGAGGGGAGGAAATGACCTTCTTGAGAGATTCAAAGGCCTTTTGAGCCTACTCCCCCCACAAGGAGTTCTTATTAAGCACTTGGGTTAGGGGGTCCGTAGACGGTCCATAATGGGGAATGAATAGCTTGTTAAGCCCAAGAAGCCCCTAAGGCTTTTGACAGAATTGGGCTTGGGCCATTTAACCATGCTTAATCTTCTCTAGGTTGGCCATCACCTGTCCAGTACACACAATGTGACCCAAGTAGTGTACACAAGTCTTCCTGAAAAGACCCAAGTAGTGTACCTGGTTCTCAACAAACCAGGTGTCACCTTAAGATATTGCAAGTGAGAAGGCCAATTACTACTATGTTCCAATATGTCATCAAAAAGCACCAAGATAAATGGCAAAAAAAAAAGGATGGAACACATCATTCATCAAGGACTAGAAGGTGGAGGGAGCATTGGTCAGACCAAATGGCATGACTAGGAACTCATAGTGCCCCTCATGTGTCCCGAATGCTGTTTTATGGACATCTTCTGGGTGTACCCAGAAATTATGGTTGTTAGCCCGTAAGTCTAGATTAGAAAACATAGTGGCTGCTCTTAGTTCATCTATCACTAGGATTGGAAAACGTTCTTTAATAGTGATTTGATTTAGGGCCCTATAGTCCATACAAAACCTCTAAGTACCATCCTTTTCTCCGGACAAGAACGGGGGCCAAGTATGGGGTAGAACTGGACTGAATCAGGCCCTTCTCAAGCATATCAGTCACCATCCTTTTGATCTTTGCCTTCTAAAGGAGCATATACGGATAAGGTTTAACATTGGCTAGGCTTGAACCTAGCATGATAGATATTCGGTGGTCTTGGGTTTGGGGAGGTGGTAAACCTTCTATCTCTTGGAATACATCTATATACTCCTAGAGAAGTTGTTGTAACACTACTTCCTCAGGTGGGGTGTTAGTGGGAAGTTGCTTAAACGGTAATTCTGGGCTGGAGAGCTTCAGGCCCATGTACAAATATTGGGCAGTCCATGTTTTGGCAAAGTTTAAGTACAGCCTTACAATCTTCTTGTTGGAGTGCTCCCTGTAGGGAACCTTGCAACTAGTAATTGCGGCTGTCTAGTGAAAAGGCCATAGTCAACTTAGCCCAAGTTGCCACAACCATTGTATATCCAAAATCATATCTGCTCTGCTAAATTCAAGGGATGGAGATCCACCATTAGCTTAATTCCTTGGACTTGGAGCTCAACAGCTCTGTACAGCCCTTCACACCAATTTGTGCCCTCTTGTAGCATGGACCAAGAAGGTTTCCAGGGGTTAACTGGTAGACTGAGTTGCTTGCCAAAATATTTGTGATAATGTTTAAAGAACTACAACTGTCTACTAGCATTGAAATGGACCTCCCTTTGATCATCCCATAAATTCCTGTGGTCTGGGGGGGAACTGAACCAGTTAGAGCTTGTAATGAGATTTTTGGTATCTCATTCCCAACACCATCAAGTCCCTCTCCGTCAGCTCTAGGAGATGTATCTTCTTCAACATTTGCCTCATTAGATTGCAACAAATACAATCTTGGGTTTTTGCAGCGATGACCTGGGCCAATCCATTTGGGGGCGGCTAAACCTGGAGTGGTGGTTCAATACCGGCCCAATTGGCCTGTTAA